TTTTTTCTCCCTTCCCCGCAGGTCGAAGCCCCCTTCCCCCGGCGCCCCCTGTGGCGTCCCCCAGCCTTCTCCCAGCGCCCCTCGGCCCACCGCCTCGCCCCATTTCTACAACTACGGCGGCTACAACACCCCCGTCGGCTACTACGGCTTTCCAGGGCTACCCCATCCACGCCGTGGGCGGCCTTTACCCGGCATGGGCATCAGCGCTCCGCAGGCCCGCCCGCAGAGCGCTGCCGCCTTCCAGTTCGCGCCGCCCGTGTTCTTCCGAGAGCGCCTGTGAGAGCGCGGCGCCCCCACAGGGCGGGTTGGCCTCCTCCGGGCCTCCTGGACGCGTCGAGCGCGTCCTTTTCTGGATCCGTGACAGGCCCAGAGCGGACACCACGCTGCTGCAGCCGCCGAGAGCCCGCCCACGCGCCCCACGTCCCGTTCCACGCTGGCCGAGGGCCGCCCGCCCGTCGAACCTGAACCACAACGTGCGGCCCAAGGCGGACATCAAGCAGGAGGGGCGGGGGGTACGGCTCCCCCGCCGCGCTGGCGCCGGCGGGCGGGAGGAGGCAGTGCCTGGCTCCGTCCGTCGCACTGCCGCCGCGGCCGACGCGCGGGCGCGGGCGGCGGCAACGCCTTCGAGAACGAGCTGCGGGCGGCGGCGGCGCACAAGATGGCGCTGAGCATCCGCTCGTTCTCCATCACGGACGCCGAGTACGAGGCGCTGGACGACGCGGCCAGGGCGTCGCCGCAGTCGCCCGCGCCCTCGCCGCACGCCCTCGCCGCCCACGAGCCGCTGGCCGCCTACACCATCGGCGCCTTCCTGCCCGAGGCGCAGGAGGCGTCCTTCGCGGAGGGCGTGGCGGGACGTGGCGGCGGGCGGCGGCGGGCAGCACTACGGCGACGAGTACAAGAAGGAGAGCGCGGGCGACGGCGACGGCCAGGGCACGGACGGCTACGCGGGCGTCCTCCCGTCCGCCCACTTCGACGTGGCGTGCTACGAGGCTGCGGGCGGCGACAGCGGCTTCCTGCACCAGCCTCACCCGGCCGCCCACGGAGGCTTTCCGGGCTCCCCTTTCCACGACGCCCGCACCACCTCCTCCGCGTCCTCCGACGCCCACGGCGACAAGGGACGGGGCTTCGCGGAGGCGTACGGGAGCTACCTGCACCACCAGTTCGGCGCCGGCGTGGCCGCCCACGAGGGCCTCCTGGGCGGCACGCCGCGCCACCAGACGCACCTCCACCTCCAGCACCCCCACCTCCACCCCGACAAGGCCCGGGCGGCCAGCGGCGGCCCCCCGCCCCCCGCCTCCTACTCGGCCTCGTCCCCGTCCTCCTCCAACTCCACCTCCACGTCGCTGGCGTCGTCGTCGCCCTCCTTCGCCCCCGCCTCCGCCGCCGGCGCCATGCCCTCGCTGGCGGGCTCCACCATCCTCCTGAACCCCATGGCGCTGCTGGCGGACTCCGAGTGCGAGGGCGCCGCCGCCGGGCCCAAGATGAGGCAGGAGTTCAGCACGCTCGACCTGGCGGCGCTGCAGGAGGAGGCGCACGAGGTCGTCATCTGCGAGTGAGGGGAGGCAGGGAGAGGAAGAGGAAAGAAGGGGAAAGAGAGAGAGGGGGAGAGCGAGAGAAAAAGAGCCTCGGCGGGCGTCTCGAAGGGACTTAAATGGCGCCGTCCAAGCAAAGATAAGGATAGAAAATCGAAGGTAAAGAAGAAAAAGAGAAAGAGAGAGTGGAGGAGGGACAGGGAGAGAGAGAAAAAAAAGCTTCTTCGACCCTTCTCCTTGCTCTCCGCATTTTTCGAATCTCCTTTTCGGTCGAGTGTCCCTTGCACCTTAAGAAAGTTCTCATGTACTTCGTTTAATTGTTAACGAACTGCAGACTTCAGTGACTATTACGTGCTATTACGGACGTGTCTCTTTCGACTCTTTCCTCCGTTTTTCTTTTCCTCGCCAAGGAAGGGACATGGGATCGGAAAATTGCATTTGAAGAGAGTATTAGAAATGAGATAAAATCGGGTCCGCTGCTAATTTTGATTTTGACAAAAGAGGCGAGAGCGAGGAAAATCAGTGAAGTCTACGGTACCGCAACCCGCATTTCAATCGCTCGGAAAATGTACGTGTTATCTCTCTTGTGTAATCGATTCTCTTTCATTCTGACAAAAGAAAAATAAATTCGATTTTATTTGATACTGGTTCACTATTTTTTTTCTCTCAGAGTTCTCTTTCTCTGTCGATACAGAGAGAAAAGCGAAAGAAAGGAGACAATAAGGAGTTAATTTGCAGAGGAAAGCGAAATCGTGCGTGTGCGTGAGTGTGTGTGTGTACGTGCGTGCGTGAATAAGTGCCTAAGTGCATTTGTGTGTTCGTGAGTGAGTGCGTATGTGAACGTGTGCGTGCGTGTGTGAGTGAATGTGTGCGTATGTGAGCGTGTGCGTGCGTGAGTGAATGAGCGCACGAGCAAAGTCATGTTATTCAGAACGACCGCATTAATAAATTCCTTTAAACATGATACGACATTTCGCCCGCTATACGAGTTTCAAATGACGTGGAGCAAAGACCAGTGTTTATAAGCGGGAGAGAGAGAGAGAGAAAGAAAGAGAGAGACACGAAAAGTAAATAGGTTTATGATTAGTATAACAGAGAGTCCCAATTACGGTTGGTTTAATGCATTAACGACACATCAGCGGCTGTAAATTGAGTACTACGCAGACCCATTAGGAAATATAATTAATTTGAAAGTCTGTCGGACAATTACGGTTTTAGTTTGTGTAAAATCTCTTTGTAAAACACGAACTGTGGATTATTTTTGTTTTTTTTATTTTAAGTGTTGTCTTTTTTCTGTTTTTCTTTCGTGTTTTCTTCCTTTTTTTCTTCTTTTCCTTCTTCGTCTTTCTTATTTCTCCTTCTAATCTTTGTCTCTGATGCTCCGATCTTCTTATGCTGGTTTGCCCTCTTTTCGCACTTTGGTCGTAGTTTTCCTCTTCTCCTCTCCCCTCATTTACTCTGTCCTTTTTCCTCCATTCTTCATCTCCACTACTCCCTTCTTTCTCTTCTCCTCTACTACTCCCTTCGTTCTCTTCTCTACTACTCCCTTCTTTCTCCTTTCTTTTCTCCTCTACTTCTTCTTCTACTACTACTATTACTCCTCTTCCCCTCCTCTCTTACTCTCCTCCTCCTCTCCTCCTCCTTCTTCTTCTCTGCCGTCTCCTTATTCCTCTCTTCCTTATTTTCTTCCTTTTCTTCTTCCTCCACCTTTTCTCCCTCTTCCTCCTCTCCTTCCTTTTTTCCTTATTTATCTACCCTTTCGCCCCGTCTAAGGTACTGATAACAGAATAGATACAAATGTTTTCTTTAATTTGATTATATTCTTCAATTTTCATATCCTTCTTTCCTCATTCTTTTTCTCCATCTCCTTGCTTTTCTTTACTTATGTCTTCCACTTCTTTCCTCCTTCTTTATTTCTTTTCCCTCTCTCCCTTTCATCTTTCCCCCTTCCTTCCTCCTTTTTCCTTTCGTTACCGTTTCTTTTTCTTTTCTTTTTTTTCTTAATTAACTTGTTCATCTTTTCTTTACTGGTTCTCTTCTGATGGCTAGATAACCGAAGTGTGTTATGTAATTGCAATTGTGATAATAAAGTAATAAGTTTATTGTTATTTTTGTTTTCGTTTTATTTTGGAATTCACGTAAAAATCGAGACAAGGATGGTGTAAGAATTCAGAAGAGAAAATTATTCGTTTTGTTTAGATGGAATATTTGTGTTTGTATTTGATAAAAAAATAGATGGAAAGGTTTACTAAACGGAATAAGAAATATACAAGAAAAGGCAATAAATGTGCAAGGAAAGGTAGCAAGTAGATAAGAATACACAAGAAATGTATCGAAGCAAATACAAAGACGTGTGTAGGTGACTTGTAGGAGTGTATTTACAATACAACTAAAACACGGATATATGATAGAACAATATATAGTCTAAGCAATATGTGTACACACAAATAGACGATTCATTTCTTTCTCTCTCTCTCTCTCTCTCTCTCTCTCGTCTCTCTCTCTCTCTCTCTCTCTCTCTCTCTCTCTCTCTCTCTCTCTCTCTCTCTCTCTCTCTCTCTTTCTCTCTTTCTCTCTGAACAGACAAACACACATTTAGACAAGATAGAGACAGCCACGCCAGATACGCTAAGGTGAAGTCAACTGAAAGCGATTCGAACAAAACACCCAAACATCCGAGCAGATTTCAGATGAACAGATACGGACGCGGTCGCCAGTTTCCATTTGTCAAAGTTTAAGCGGAAATACGAAGGGAATTCACCCGTCTATGTGCTTTTGCAAATAGACGGGTGAAGACAGACAGACAGACGCTATTAGGTACACAAGCGAACGGGGGAATAAGCATATGCATGTAGATAAATACACACGAAACATATACATACAAAAACAGACACAAAAATACACACCCAAAACAGGCACAGACAGACGAACGTACACAAAGAGGCACAGACAGACAAACGGACTCAATCAGATAGACAAAACAGATACAGACAAACACAAACAAAAGCAAACAACGAACCGATCACTATCAAACAAACAGAAACAGACAAACGGACACAAACACAAACAGACAAACGAACACAAACACAAACGGACACAAACACAAACAGAAACACACAAACGGACACAGAAACAGACAGACAGACACACGGCCCCCCCACGTACGGCGCAGATCTCTAGCAGCGCCGCCATCGTCTCTTGTGATTTGGTGCTATTATCCTACGGGACAATGTTGAGTAAATGAAGGAATAATACTTTGGTCGAATTAACCGCGAGAAGTAGATCTAAAAGGGGCATAAGCGAGGCAGGAGGGAACGGGGGAGATAATCGCCCTTACGCTAGGAGGGTCGTAAGGTTGTCTTTGGCTTGGCGCGAGGCTGTGTGTTAGGTTAGGTGTGCGTCGTTTCCTGAAATCTGAACTTGGGAGTGTAATAGTATTCCAGATTCCCGTTCCAGTCAGAGGCGGTTATGGGAATATGATTCTAATGATTGGGTGCATTAGAGGCTACATTCGGGAGGAATAATGCTTTTCTCTCTCCTCTCTCTTCTCGCTCTCTCTCTCTCCTCTCTCTTCCTTCCTTCCCTTCTTCCCCTCTCTCCCTCCCTCTCCCTCTCCTTTTCCCTCTCCTTCTCCTTCTTCTCCTTCACCCTCTGCTCTCCCTCCCCCTTTTCCTCCCCCTCTCCCTCCTTCCCTCCTCCCTCTCCTTCTCTCCTCCCTCTCCTTCTCCTTCTTCTCCTTCACCCTCTGCTCTCCCGCCCCCGTTTCCTCCCCCTACCCCTTTTCCGCCCCCTCTCCCTCCTTCCCTCCTCCCTCTCCTTCTCTCCTCCCTCTCCTTCTCTCCTCCCTCTCCTTCTCCTTCTCCCTCTGCCTCTTCCTTCCTTCCTTCCTTCCTTCCTTCTATCCCTCCCCCTCTCCTTCCCTCCTCCCTCTCCTTCTCCTTCTTCTCCTTCACCCTCTGCTCTCCCTCCCCCTTTTCCTCCCCCTCCCCCTTTTCCTCCCCCTCCCCCTTTTCCTCCCCCTCTCCCTCCTTCCCTCCTTCCCCTCCTCCCACTCTATCCCTCCCTTTCCCTCTCCCTTTTTCCCCCCTGCTTCGCTCACAGGAGGGAGGGATCTTGGCACGAGGGCGGAGGAGGGGAAGGGGGAGAGGTGAGGGGGGTGGCACAGCAGGGGATAAGAGTTCCCGTCGCCATGGCAACATCTGGCGGGGTTGCCATGTACCGCGAGAGACTAAGATGGACGGCTCTGGCTTGGCACTTTGGGACCTACCTTTGGCTTCATCATCATTCTTGGCGTCACCATTGCCGTCATGCCATTGCGGTTGTCATTTCCATTATTCTCAATATTTGTATGATCTATTTTTTTCATATCTTATGATACTGCAAGAATAGTGCAATGGAATATTGTCTTTACGAAGGATGGTCTAACCTAATTTCCACACCTACATATATATATATATATATA